AGGTTCTCCTCTGCGAGCTTCAGGCGCGAGAAGACGGTTTCGAACGGGGCAAGGGAACCGTGTCCCCCAGCACGACCCGGATGGTGTCGAGACGGCCGTCGATGCCGTGGAGGAACTGCATGGTGAGATCCACCTTGGAGACCACATGGTCGATGTCGGCGAGACCCGCGGTGAGCAACTTCATGCGGCGCGCATATTCATCGACAGAGAGATCGCCCTGTTTGAGGTTGCGATATTGGCGATTAAGCATCATGTACTGAGCCGCACGATTGGCGAGGAAGTAATCCCGGATCCGAGTCTAGAGATCGAAAGTGGTGGTGGCGCCGATCACGTGGTCAACGAGCTGATCGGTGAGAGTGGCATACGTGGCGAGGGCGACATGGGTGTCGAGCTCAAGATAATGGCGGTCGGCATTGGGTGGAGGCGGGTGCTCGATCAGGTACTGGACGCCATAACGGATAAGGACCATAAGGAAGAATGATTTCCACTTGTGGTAATTGTGCTCGGCGGGGTTGAGAAGGAATTTGATGTGGTTGGTGATGTCTACGTTGAGGATAGGATGTTTGGCCGAAGGGGCCGGTGGCGGCGGTGGCGGCACAGTGGAGTTAAAGAGGGGGGCGAACTAGGAGGAGGCAGGAGCAGTGGCGTTAGGGTTTGCCGAGAAGGTGCCGAAGATGAGCGGGGGAGAGGTGCATGTACCAGAGGTGGCCGAGGAGGGAGCCGCGGAGGAGAGAAAGGGCGATGAGGTGGAAGAGAGGATCGCCGCGGAGGAGAAAGAAGAGTGCTGCTCCGACATGGCGGCGCACTGGAGACTACGGATACCAAATTAGAGAGTAAACTTGCTCTCTTGATTGATTGATTCCACATACATCAGCGATACAAATATATACCCCATAAAGTGGGCACGCAGGTCCGAAGAAGTTGGTTCAGATCCTATAATCTAGGATGCGTTATGCGCACTACATACACTGTACAAATACATGTTAACAGACTAGACGTATTTCTGTTAGGTTTTTCCTTTTGAATAACAAAAAAAAAGGTTTTTCCTTTTGAACTTACGTAGTATTCTTTAAAAAAGCTGAACTTATGTATCCATGTTACAATATCTAAATAGCTAGACACGTGAACCAACCTGTGGTTGGATGGTTAGAGGGATTGTGGTATCCCCAGCCCATCAGGGTTCAAATCCTGATGCTCGCATTTATTCCTGAATTTATTTCAGAATTTTCAGCGATGCACATTCTCATAGGGGTAGGGTGCGCATGTGTGCGTTCATAGGGGTAAGTGTATGCACGTCTATATGAGCGATTGTGTCTGTACTGATGTTCAAAAAAATAGCTAGACCCTGCTACTAAATTTCATGCGTACTTCCACATCACCTTAATTATTTCTAGCCATCCAATTAAATTTGTGTGAGGGAGATGGAGCAACTTCTTGAACAATCGTTGCTCCGCGGGTACAATGATGGCCCTTAGAGCATCTCCAACAGGCGCGCTAAACAGGCGTCACGCCGCAAATATACTCAGTTTAGCGCGCGCGCAACCCGGCGGGTGGCTCCAGCGGGCGCGCAATAACCGCGGGCGCGATATAAGGAGTTGGGTGCGCGGCAGGAATCGCTATCTCGCGCGGTGTATTTGCGGCGCCCGCTTCCGCGCGCAGCACACTCGAGCGCTCGCGCTGCATGCTGTCTTCTCCGCCTCCAACGCCCCACGAAGAAGTTTTGATCCAAAAAAGAGCCATGATTCGCGCAATGGGTGGCGGTGGCCTCGACCCAATGGATGGCGGTGGCCTCGGCGCCATGGGTGGCGGTGGCATCGGCGCCATGGGTGGCATGAGTGGCTTCGGAGGTACCGTGGGCGGTGCAATGGGAGGCATGACTGGCTTTGGAGCACCCCCCGACGCTATGGCCACCATGGGAGGCATGAGTTTTCCTTCTCTCATGGGAGGCATGGGTGCACCTCCGGCCGTCATGGGCGGAATGTCTTTCGATGTGCCTCCTCGCACACATTTCCATGAAGATGTCGTTGAATATCTTGCCAACACCTTCGAAGCTTCACGTGATGCAGTGCGCGATGAGGAGAGGGAGGAAGATTCATCTTCGGAGGCGGAAGAATCATCTTCCGAAGATCAAGACGAAGACGAGGACGAGAACGAGGAATGATGTGTCTTTTATTTGTGTATTGAACTTGATTTGCCTTTTGAACTTGGTTGGATGAACTTGTGGGTATGATTTTGAACGTGTGGGCATGAACTTTTTTTCATTAACTTGTTTGTGTGAAATTTTATATGTCATGTTCATTGCATTTTGAATGTTTCATCAACTTCATTTTGTGTTTAAAATGGCATATGCAATGCACCGGCGAGTCGCGCGTGCTGCATTTTTGCGTGCTGCTGAAGCGGCGCGCACGCTGCATTTTAGTGCGGCTGCTGGAGCAAGCGTTGTGCGCCGCGCCAAACCAAGCAATGAGCGCACGATAAATTAGTTTTTTGCGCGCGGCGCGTTCGGCGCCTGTTGAAGATGCTATTAGGAGAGGGAGATGAGCAACTTCTTAAACGGTCGCTGCTCCGCGAGTACAGTGGTTTGCCTTTTAACTAATGATAACCTTGCAAAATTAAAGAAACCTTATGCCATTACTTGTTGGACATGTCTAATTATTTTTAAAAGCAAATGGGACAAAATACAATCAATTGGGGTAGCGAGGGAAAACTTCTCTCATTTGAACATTTGCAACAGGCGCACGAGAGGAGAAGACGTCTGGTACGAGCACAAGCGCTAGTACCTGTTGTTGCCTCCATCTCATCTATATGAAGCCACTTTGTATAGGCGACTGAAGGAGAAGGACAGAGGAGAACACCGCACATCTCCATCAGAACTTAGGCGAGAGATTTTGAAGAGAAGGAGTTCACTTAGATCTATTCAAATAATCTCCGCATGACACCGCCCTTCATTCATCTTCATCGTCACCTTGAAAAGAGCAATTCCAACTCGTGAGCCTAGAGTTTGCAACTCTCATACGACTTTTCTTTATTTAATCTCTCTATTTGTTGAATATTCCTCTTTCGTCCGTGAGTAACCCCCAATAGACATGGGAGGTGGAGGGGAGTTGTGAGAATCATTTGTGCCTATCATCTTCACATCACATTGCTGCAAAGGCCACGTCGCCACACCGCCTGTGCGCTGACGTGCCTTCCCCGTTCCGCCTGACCTCTCCGGCTGCCCTCGACATGCTTCTCAACACCGTGTCATTAACTTGCGGACCTCATCTTCGTTTAACAGAAAATAGTGAAAAATACATGAAGATCTTTTACGGGAACCGAGAAAAATAGGTGTAAAACTTCCTCTAAATTATATTGTCATCCCATAAAAGTCGTTTCACGCGAAGATTTTTACAGAAGCTATTGGAGTTGCTAAGAGCATCTCCAATAGCGATTCAGATTCGCTGACTTGCCGTGGCAAAGGTAGCTAAGCTACAATACCACTACATTTGCCCAATCTTGTCTGTCGGATTAAAAAGCGTCGGCGCAGATCGTATGCTACAATATGGTCAACAGTTATTTGCGTGAACAGTGTTCCGGAACAGAGATTTGGCGAATCTCAGCCTTCAATTCTTGATCCCGCGGCAAAGTCAGCGGGGACTTGCTGTGGCTAAGTCCTCGAATCCGATTCCCTCCAATAGATGATGCAAATTTGGAAATGTAAAACAAGGTGTTGTATAGTTTACATTACCAAGAAATGCATTTTACATCTCTAAAAAAAAGGCAACTCCAACAGATGATGTATATTGGTGATGTAAAAGTCTAACTCCAATAGATGATGCGTATTGAAGATGTAAAAATTGTGTACAACCGGCACAACCACTATACAACATTTGTACAGCCACTGGACAATTGCATTTCAACACGAAAGGGCAATATTTCTACAACCAAAGGAAAAATATTTTATTTACCTCTGGGACATTTCGTCGAGCACGTTGGAGACAGTGGCCGTGGGCGTGACCGCGTCTTCCTCCATGGCCGGCGGCGGAGGTGGAGGAAGGGTTCCTTGACCGGATGCGGTCACCACGGCCACCGGCATCGGCGAATCAGTCGACGCAGTCGCGACCAGCTTTGCCTTCTTGGCCACCCGACATGGGTTTGTTGTTGGGTTGCGCGCCGCCGACCGCTTATGCCTCCTCCGCGGGTTTTTGGCGGTCAGCTGTTTCTTCGATGGCGGCATAGCTGGCACGACAACCGGCCTGGGTGGGGCAAAGCCGGGGCGGCGGGTTGAGGACGGTGGCATGGCGGCAGAGGAGGGATCGGGGAAGGCGGTCGCGCCAGTAACGTGGGTTAGACCGACGCGGTTGCGGCGGAGGAGGCGGAGGGTCATCGGAGTCAACCATGGCCCAGGCGAAGGGTGGTGCGCAGGAGGGGGGGGGGTGGAATAAAAATGAAGGCACTTGGGTGGTGCGCGCGTGATCGGTTGTTTTACATCACCTAAAGATGGAGGTGCTAAGGTGTTGTATTTTACTCCCCTGTTTTTAAATATAAGTTTTTTTAAAGATTTCATTATGGACTACGTACAGAGTAAATGAATAGATCTATATTTTAAAATATGTCTACATACATTCGTACATTAGTATGGAATCTCAAAAAGAGTTATAGTTACTCACGCGGGGGAGGTGATGTAAATTATCATCTGTTGGAGATGGTGTTTGGGCCTCGAAGATGTATAAATTAGTTATTCTTGCATCAGATGCTCTAAGTATGGTGTTTTCGAATAAAACAGAGCTCCAATTAAGCCTAATCTCACCACTCATCTCTCCTCGCACACAGATCTCATCTCACGCCCACTTTTGCTCTTTGTCCCGCGACGGAACCGAGACGAGCACGCCGATACGCAAAGCACAAGCCCAACAACTAAAGCTCGGAATCCAAACCCCCCTCGCCCATGGCCTGATCCCATCGACCGATCGAACTAGCACGCCACACGCCCTCGCGGCCCCCGCCGCGGCCACCGCCCGATGGGCCTCCTCAGCTCCCTGCGGCCGCACCGCCGCGGGAGCGGCGGCGGCGGCGCGCAGTGGCAGTGGTCGTTCCTCGACGCCGTCTGGGCGGTGTTCCTCGTGGCCGTGGTCGTCTTCCTCGCGCTCGTCTTCACGCCGCGCCGCGGGGACACCCTCGCTGCCGCGGTGGTGCCGCCCTGTGCCGCCTCGGAGGTGGACCTCCTCCCCTGCGAGGACCCCCGCCGAAGCTCCCGCCTCAGCCGCGAGATGAACTACTACCGCGAGCGCCACTGCCCCGCGCGGGGGGAGGCGCCCGCGTGCCTCGTCCCGCCGCCGCCCGGCTACCGCGTGCCCGTGCCCTGGCCCGAGAGCCTCCACAAGGTTCGTGCTGTTGCCACTGGCCGTTCCGCTCAAAATTAACCCCTGATTAACCGTTGCAATTGCAGGCGTCAGCTAGTGTCTTGGCAGAGTAATGCTTCTGAGGACTGTTGCTTTGATTTGTTATGTACTAGCTTGCTAGTGTACGACCAGCTTTTGCATCTCATGCTCTGAGTGGTTAATATTTGCATGACTTTCTGAAATCTGAATCTAAGCATCTTGGAAATGATGGAGTTATTAGAGTGAAAGTTACTGGATGATGTCTAGAGGTCCTGAATGCCAGACTGGTTCTGAGTTTGGGAAATACCAGTGATTAGGATGATTTTTCACGGATATGATTTTCGGATTAGGAGGTGAAATATGCGCTCACATTTTTAGCTAACAGGTCTGGTGGATAAGATAAGACTAAGCAAGCTACTAGGCACAAGTTTTGATGGCGTCTGAGCTAGCATGACCAAGGACTTAAAAAATTCAAGTCTAGCTCTTGCACCTTCAGATATGGGTTTGTTACGTTGACCTTACCTGAGGAATGTACATTGGGACTGGAAATAACAAAACAGAGATAGTATATTGGTTTACTTCGTGTGTTGACAGGATGTAGATTACTTCTATTCCTCTTACACCGAGATTTACCGCTTGTTTATTGTTCTCTATGCAGATATGGCATGATAACATGCCTTATGGCAAGATTGCTGAAAGAAAAGGTCATCAAGGGTGGATGAAGCAGGAAGGCTCATACTTCCTTTTTCCTGGTGGCGGAACTATGTTTCCTGATGGTGCCGAACAATATATTGAAAAGCTTACCAAGTATGTTCCACTAAGAAGTGGTCTCCTGAGGACAGGTCTTGATATGGGTTGTGGGGTAATAATTTTTTCTTTAATATGGAGCTTCTATGTTTTGTTTTCCAAGTAAAATGGCTACAACTTTTTTCCATCCTTTGTAGGTTGCTAGCTTTGGTGGGTTTCTGCTCAAAGAGAATATCACGGCACTTTCCTTCGCCCCAAGAGATTCACATAAGTCGCAAATACAATTTGCGCTCGAGAGAGGAATTCCTGCATTTCTTTTGATGTTGGGCACACGCCGTCTTCCATTTCCAGCACAGTCCTTTGATTTCGTCCATTGCTCTCGATGTTTGATACCTTTTACTGCCTACAGTAAGTAATGTTTTCTTCTGCATTCAACATGCACGTCTGCCCTCCCTCTCTCTGACATGTAAAAAATGGCAGATGGCAGTTATTTGATTGAAGTTGACCGTCTACTTAGACCGGGAGGTTATCTGATTATATCCGGACCCCCTGTGCAGTGGAAGAAGCAGGAGAAGGAATGGGGTGAACTTCAAGCAATGGCACGGTCTTTGTGTTACAATTTGGTTACTGTAGATGGCAACACGGCCATTTGGAAGAAACCTAGTCAGGCGGCATGTCTTCCTAACCAAAATCAATTTGGCCTTGATTTGTGTAGTACTGATGATGATCCAGATGAAGCATGGTAACAATTTTCTGTGTTTTTTGTGTATCCTTGCAAATTGTGTTTCTAGCTTTTCAGTATGCCAGAAATGCGTTTTGCATATTTCTGTTTGATCGATTATAGGGTTTTACTGTTTGCAGGTACTTCAAGTTGAAGAAATGCATAAGTAAAGTTTCTCTGTCAGAAGAAATAGCCGTTGGTTCCATTGATAAGTGGCCAAATAGGCTGTCTAAACCTTCTGCTAGGGCCTCCTTTATGGATGATGGTGTAAACTTGTTTGAAGCAGATACACAGAAGTGGTTCAAAAGAGTATCATATTACAAGAGATCACTTGGTGTGAAGCTAGGTACTGCACTCATACGTAATGTCATGGACATGAATGCATTCTTTGGAGGATTGGCGGCTGCTGTAGCGTCTGATCCTGTGTGGGTTATGAATGTTGTTCCTGCTAAAAAACCATTGACACTTGGCGTAATATATGACAGGGGCCTGATTGGAGTTTATCATGATTGGTAAGTATGCAATACTTAATTTGTTTATCTCATACTCCCTCCGTCCCAAAATAAGTGTCTCAACTTTAGTATAACTTCGTACTAAAGTTGAGACACTTATTTTAGACGGAGGGAGTATAAATTATGGACAATTTCAGTGCCTTGCATGCTCATGTGCTTCTTTTTCCCTTGGTTGATTACGGACTACATTGCTAGCTTCTGAAGTACAAACTGGATACCATGTCCAACATAAGATTCCATGTCCATCTTACTTTCCAGTTGCTTGCTTGTGGTAGTTTTGCGCACACTAGAAAATTCAAATTTATAGGTTGTTCCATCCACCTTTTCCAAGCTATCCATATATTTGTCAGCAAGTTCTCATCTGATGCTGGGGAATTGCTCGGGCCTGCTGCCTGCTCTAGCATTCATTCTGATTGATTATTGGGTATTTTTGATATATAATTTTACATTTAAAACTTGATCTCTTCTACTAGATCCCAAAATATATGGCCGCTGAAAAATAACATTATATGACCTCTATGTTTGTGCCTTGTGCAAGATTTGTTCGCTTACCAGTTACCGCCCTAGTCTTATTTCAATATCAAGTTTTATATGATGACCATTTCACCTAGTAAGTTAATGGATCAAGCCATTTACATGAATAGACTAATAATCAATGTTCTTGCTTGTTGTAGTTCTGAAATTGGTTGTGTAACTTTGGTTCCAGGTGTGAGCCTTTCTCAACATATCCTCGTACCTATGACCTGATTCATGCTGATGGAATCAATTCTTTGATAAGCGACCCAAAGTCTGGAAGGAGCAGGTAGACCGACTGAACTTGAGATAGTATCACTAATCTGTTCTGGTTTTTCTGCAATTTTAGAGTTATCTAATTTATTCTTGAAATACTATGTATAATTTCAGTGCAAACCAAGTAGCACCCAGAAATTATCAGTTCATCTACAGCCACTTTGAAACAGCAATATAAATATACAAGCATAATATAAATGCATGATTAGACAGGCTTTGCTTGTTGAATCTATAGGGATGAAACCACAAAAATTGCTCAAAACTGGTGTTACTTGGTAATTGTATATGTTTAACCCAGATGATAACCGCCATGGTAGAGTCCAAGCAAATACCCTATGCAAGTTTTTAAAGCAAGCTTTACATTTATTTGATGGGATAAGCACCATCTACTAAATGGACGATACGAACTAAAAGAGCTACCTGATAACTGACCGCATTTCTACTTGTGGCAGATGTGACCTGTTTGATGTCATGTTGGAGATGGACCGCATATTGCGCCCAGAAGGAACTGCTGTCATACGGGACTCCCCAGATGTGATCAACAAGGCTGTACAGGTAGCTCGGTCGATTCGGTGGACTACTCAGGTACACGACAGTGAGCCTGAATCAAGCAGTGCTGAGAAAATACTTGTAGCGACGAAAACATTTTGGAAGCTACCATTAACATCGGGATAGGTTAGTTGTATCCCTGTTTATAACCCTTCCCCTGATTTTGAGTCTTTTGGGGATGGGTTGGAGGGATTAGCACTGATATCAGATTGAGGCGGAAATAGCTTTATTTTCTACAACATCGTTGGATCTTTAGTAACGAGTTAGGTACTGCTTGCTGCGAGTCTGTGATTCTTTCTATGTGTTTTGTGGCCCTTACACCTCTTCCATTTGGAATCAAATTCCGGATTGATATTTGTTATAGGATGATTGCCCCTTTGTGAAAAGTGTGTATGGTTTGTTCCACTTGTGGTTACTGCATCCATGTTCGATCTTGCAATATAAACCATTCTAGTTGCGTGGAAGATGACTGAAGTCTTAACACAATCGCATTCCAACGATACCATTTCATGTTTGTGCAAGCAGCCTAGCGCATATTGATCGCACCAATTCATTCAGCGATGGCAAAGACGATTCGGTTCTTCAAGTATAACCTATTCTACTCTGAACATTGCAAGTGCGACTGGCTATGTAAAACCAAAGAATGAACAAACGCCTTAGCCACAAACAAACCAGAGTGAATTACAGAGCTTTAATAACACATTCAAGCAGAATTGCTAGTCAACGCCTCTTGGACAACAAAGGAATGCAAAAGGTGCAAGTTCTATACAGCGCAAAAGTATAAAAAAAATGCCAAACTGAAGCAATTATCTGTATGGGCAGCACGTTTGTCTCTACAGCTGTTCTCCTCTTATTTTTATTAGTTGTCACACTTCCAGTGCGACGTCGGGACGCAGGTAAGGTAGTGGCACCAGCTGCAATGGTCGTTGCCGTTCACCCCGCGGAACACCATCAGCAACCCTACAGCAAGCCTGCGTACAAACAAGCATGGCTCCAGATTAACTACCACACATGACGCATATTCATTTTGTAGAATCTGAATGAAGACTTTGTATCTTGCACCGGCGCTTACCCTGCAATGGCTAGGAGGAGGGCGACGACCAGGAGGACGATCTGGCAGGCCGTGTACTTGGACTTTGTCTTGCCGCCGAAGGGCTGCTCCAGCCACCCGAACCGGGGCTGGATCAGCAGCACGAAGCCGAGGAGGAAGCCGGTGAGGAACCCGCCGATGTGCGCGAAGTTGTCGACGTGGGGCAGTATCCCCAGCGCCAGGTTGATGGCGGCGATGATGATCAGGTTCGCCATGGCCGCCAGCTGCAGACGGTGTTTACATTCGGATGTCAGAAGGTGTTCGACATGGACCGAAGCAAAATACAGTAGTGGCAGAGACGAGGGGGGACGCGCGCGTACCCTGTTGGTGTAGATGGTCCAGTTGGTGATGAGCTCCGACAGCATGGCCCCGAGGAGGCCGAAGAGCGCGCCGGAGGCGCCGACGGAGACGCCGTTCCTGATGAAGAGCACCGAGAGCACGCTCCCGCCCAGCCCCGAGAAGAGGTAGACCAGGCCGACCTTCCCTGCACGACGCGACGAGCGCGGCGAAGCCCGGTCAAAACAAGACAAAACAAAGCAACACAGCGTGCGCACGCTGTAAGCAAGACCTCGTCGCCGTTCTAGACGGAGTCGTCGGTCGGGCCGGGCGCTTACAGAATCCGAACTGCTGCTCCAGGCGGACGCCGACGAAGATGAGGCTGATCATGTTGGCGCCGAGGTGGATGAGGCCGGCGTGCAGCCAGGTGCTCGTCTCCAGCCGCCACCCCTGCCCCCCGTGCACCACCTTGTACCGGTCCAGCCCGCCGTACTTCCCCAGCCTGCATGCAGCGCCATGCCCATGATCCGATCCACGATGAGTACAAGCAAGCAAGAGAATCGAAAGATTCGAGCCGGTGGGGAAGAGAGAAGATATCTGTGCGCTTACGTGGCGGAGGAGGGCCCGAAGAGGGGGTTCTCCTTGAGCGGCTGGAAGGAGAAGCGGCGGAGGAAGCCGCCGCCGAGGCAGTCGGCGCCCCTGCCGTTGCGGGGGCAGTCATTGTAGTACATGACCACGACGAACATGGCCACGTTGGCCAGCACCACCAGCGGCACCAGCCACGTGTGGTGCTGCCGCTCGCGCTCCGCCTCCTGGCCGTAGTAGAAGGGCGCCACCGGCGGGGCGTGCTGCTGCCCGTCGCCGCCCGCGTAGTACCTCCCCGGCGGCGGCTTGATCCCCGTCGTCGTCGCCGCCCTGGCCGGGCCGGCGGCCTCCACGTCGGGGTTCGACATGGCCTCGGTCGATGAACCCACGCCCGCACCGCCCCGCTTCTTGGCTGCTGGCCTGCTCGGTGCAAACACAATCGTTTGCTGGTTGGCTTCCCGAGGAGACGACGACTGGAGACCCGGTGTTTGTTTGGAGCCTCTGTGGTGGTTTTATCCCGAGGGTTTTTAATCTATGCGTGTTTCTTGTTTTATTATTTCGTTTAAATCAATATGGACAAATATTGGCCGCCTATTATTGCAATCTGGTTGTTGGAGGGGAGGATTAGGAGTTGGCGGGAAGTTTTATATGCAAGAAAGAATGGAGGGTCTGTGGGTTCAAGGAGTCGAGATGATGATGGCGCGATTAGAAGTTGACCCCTTGGCTCACTTGATGCTACGCTCGAGCTGTATTCGGGCTCTCTCCGGCTAAATTATTAGTGGCTTATAATCAGCTTAATAAAGGTGAAATACTTTTACACGCATGGATCGGCAGATCCTTTCTTTAGAATCAACCAACCAACTGGAAGCTCGCTGGCGACACTGATGTTTGCTACTGACAATTATTGTCCAGAATTCCAGATGCATGGTAGGATTGTCATTTTTGTAGGAGTTTTTTCTATAAATAAGGAAATGGAGTATCGTGTGTATTTGGCATATGATGTTTCATGTTTTTTGTAGATATACCATTTTTTTGCGCTTGTTGGTCTCAGCTTATTATGGAAATCATTTCGAAAAGTTTCTGGCCATGCTTCATTTTAGTCTTTCTTGCTAGGATTACGCTGTTGTTTACGTCGTTACGTTTGAAAGCTACTACTCCAGAAAGTTGTACTAAATCAGTATCAATTTACGAATCGGAGAAAGTAGTATTTCCGATGGCGAGTGCGATACGAGGGCCGCGTAAGTTAGTTCAACACTGCTATTACAAGGAAGGAAGCATTCCACGCGTTTCTGCCATTTTCCGGCTCGTTCCATGTGAACCGTTCTCGTCTGCTTCAGTTGCGCGGTTAAGGTTCAATAGATTGTCGGTTTTCTTTTCTTTTTTGGAGGGATCGAATGCGATGTTGATGCACGCCCAAAACTGGGTCCCTTTTTTACTTTTCGTATTTGTTTCGATCTGCGGAGAGGCCTTTTTGTTACTTCAGCAATGAGCAAAAATACTTTGTCCAAACAATTCATTTCGTTTATTCACAAAAATCGATTTTTTTTTCCGCGCTGGCACCGCTGCCAGATGTTGATTGTTTGGTTCCAGTAGACTCGATAGAAATTGTTGCATAATGGGACCCCACTCGCCGCCTTCTAAACTAATACTACAAGACAACTGCAAGAGCGTCTTCCCACACTCTAGCCCGTTTTACATTATAGAAAAAAGAGTATTAATCAATTAATCATTGTGTGATTCTGACTTGAATCACAGAAAAAAAAGAATCATAAACTATGAAATCGCCTAAGTAAAGTCCGGAGCTCTCCAAAATCGCTTAAAATGGTCCTTGCACTGGTATTAAAAATGGTTATTTATTTTATGTCTTCCATAAAATATGAAGAAAAAACATACAAACATGACTATCTTTTGCCGCACAAAAAAGGCAATTTATCCATTTATTTGTTTTTTATGAAACATAGATGATCATGAGATGTTTCTTGTTTTATTTTCCACTCCCTAGCTTTGACATGATTACTTACGGTGGTTCAAATCGTGTAGTTCTAAAAAATGGTTACTGATTGGAAACTAGCAAAATGAAATTATATCTTCTAAAAGAGCAAAAAAAAATAACTTTATCTTTTGTACAAATAAGACAAAACAAATCTATTTATCTCGGGCAGTTTTCCCACATGACACATGTTGTAAGACTATTTGTCCTACTGATGAATCTTGTGAACTACAAACGCTTGATTTTTACAACAATAAAACAAATATTTCTCCACATTATAATCCAACAGTTAGTGTATTGAAGTCAGTGTATAAAATGGACTTGCCATTTTCTTCCCCAATCTACTCGTAACCTAGGAGACAGAGCGGACCGAGGGTCCCCTCGCCCTTCGTCTGTTTCTCCCGTGACGGGAGGGGCGGGGACCCCAAGGCTTTGGTCGGATGGTGATAGGGTTGGCAATAAATTTAGGTTATGGCTTCGATTGACGGTGGCGAGATGATGACGTCCCTGTGAGTGTGGAATAATGTCTTCTCGCGTCGTCCTTGTTACGATGGTGCTTCTCGCATCGTCGAGAGGCATGTGGAGGATGTTGTGTCCACAAATTTAGTTATCCGGATATGCCTTTATTCATCTGCGGTTTTATCTCGATGCCGTTGTCCTACGAACAATGTGCTTGTGCGTCTTGGTCCTCCGACTTCAGTTTCGACCGACGAAGGTTGACCAGCCTTGGCTTTGTCAGGGAGTGTGTGAGATTTGTGTTCCCCGACATCGTTTGGTCGGACCTCGGGTGTTCTACAAGCCGTCTACGGCGGGTTTTTTCTCCGCGATGATGATTTGCTACACAGATCGTGGCCATAGGAGTCTTTTGGTCTGCATTGATGACTTCCTGGTTGCGACTTCTACAATTCTTCAGTTTCAACTAGTTTGCTCTGTTGAGATGGAGGCCTGGAGACGATTTGCTCATGGCACATCACTGATGGATGCAGGAAGATGATTTATGTAATGTTGTTTTAATAAGGACATGCGATCCTTAATATATGGTCTTTGGCCTTTTTTTGAAAAATGAAGTCAGTGCATAGAAAGAGGACTCCAAACGGTACAAACAGTAAGACTGTGACCAGTCCAACGATCAACGGCCGGAGGCTGATTTTGTTATCAATTCGCATGGAAATTTTGAACCGGTCGACAGATGTACCCAAACAGCCGCTAGTTTGCAGCCTGCGACGATGTTGACGGCCGCCTGGTTCAGCCAGATTCGAGATACAGTACCAGGGTGCCAAAGCGTGAATTCTTGTTTTGCTTTTGAACTTGGTGAAGCACAATTTGCCTGTAAACAAATACTCCCTTCGTAAGTTAACATAAGAGCGTTTAGAATACTAAAATAGTGATCTAAACATTCCTATATTAGTTTACACATGGAGTACTACTGAAATACCAACGGTATTGCAGACAGAGCCCGCACTTCGCGGCGGTCGAGCCAGGCGCACACGGCCCGTGTGTTCTTGCTCCGGTGCTTTGCTGCTGCTGCTGCGTCTTTTAGAAAAAACAGCACGCCCACACCGCATTCACCGCCGGTCCCTCCGTGCGATCTTCTATGCCCAGCCACAGTTGCCGTGGCGGATAAAATCATGCAGAGGTCAGCAGGGGCAGGTGGCAGGCACGCTTGCAGTTTCATACGCTACCCGCCCGCTCAAACGGATCAATCATGCTAACGGAAGAGAGAATACTATACTAGTAGTAGTACGAGTAGTCCTGTAGGAATGTCTCATTGTTTTGCTTGCACGCTGATGATGAGCGTCCATCCCCGCTGAATTGTCTCCGTCGGCCAACGAACCTGCAGGCGAAATGTCCCGTGCGGTGCGTACTGACGTATGCGAGGGAGCGGGGCGTCGGGGCCGGCCGGGGTGCGTGCGTGCTCGGGAAGCGCCGCGCCGTACCCCGCACTCGGCGTTGCGGGTCAGTCGGGCCGGAGACGCCGTACGTGGTTGGCACGACCACCACGACACGGGGCGCGCGGGGCAGAGAGAAACGCTGGTACTAGAGCGATCTGCGGGCACGTCGGGGGTACAGCTACAGGTACAGCCGGAGATGTGTACCGGGACCTTTCCCGCGGGCATGTACAATGGTACTATCTTAGAAGTGCCACCTAGGATAAATGATGAGGTGGAAGAGAGAGAACTCATAAAAAATGACTTGTCTTCTCTTATTTAAGATAAGACAAGAGATGACCTCTTAGCACAATATGTCTCATCACATTTTTAGGAATTGCTAGTTATTGAAGATAAGGCTAAGAGATGACCATTGTAGACATTTGTCTTTGTCACCTCTAAATTACATGTAAAACTTAAGATAAGACTATCTTATCAACCATTATATATGCCCTCAGAGACATCCCTGTCCCGCCCCCGCGGGAGACGCGCCAGCACGGCTGCGCGCGATTCGCCTCCTCTTTCTTCTCCAGCTGACAGAATCTGGGGTCTGATCTTGCCGATCCAGGTCTGTTCTTCCGGGGAACCAATTTTTTTTCCGAGGAAACCAAACTTGGTATTCGTTCATGACTTCCTACTTTTTTTCCTGACTTCTTTTTTTATTCGAGAAACTCACAATCTATTCATTTTCAATCATGATAGTACAAAGAACAACAAAGGTAATAAAAATCATAGACAATATTTTGATAGCATATGAGTGTTTCCACACAATAAAATAGAAAAGAACAGGGAGGGAGGGGCTGTGTGCAATTAAGTTGGACATGCACAAAGCTTATGACCGAGTGGAATGGTCTTTTTTAAAAGCAATTTTGGTGAAGCTGGGCTTCAAGGAAAACTTGGTGAATTTGATTATGCAATATGTGTCCTCGGTGAAGTACAAGATTCGGGTTCATGCAGAGGAGACTGATAACTTCAAACCCACTAGAGGGCTAAGGCAGGGGGATCCCCTCTCATCCTACTTATTCTTGTTATGTACGGAGGGCCTGACTGCCCTTTTAGCAAATGCGGAGGAGAGAGGAAATATCTCCGGCATAAAGGTTAGTAGGGAAGCTCCCTCCGTTTCCAATCTATTATTTGCGGATGATTCATTGATCCTCATGCGAGCAAATGCAATGAATGCAGAGGTCCTTAGAGCGGTTCTGGACTCTTACTGTGCCACCTCCGGGCAGATGGTGAGTGTCGAAAAATCCAACATATTTTTTAGTCCCAATATAAAAGTGAAGGACAAAGCGCAAATATGTACAATTCTAAATATTATGACTGAGGCACTTAATGATAAATATTTGGAATTACCTGCCAATGTGGGCATGAACAAAAGTGATTGTTTTCAGTTCTTGATTGGTCGTATTATTATGAAGATTAGTGGACGGAAAGAAAAGTTGTTATCGGC